GTGAACAAAATTAACACAAAATGAATGGTTATCATTTGATCTTGGCCCTATATATATATATATATATATATATATATATATATATATAAAAGAAAGTCAGATTGAGAAACTTCAGCTTTGCACAATACACACCAATCTAATTGAAAAAAACCCAAAACATTTATTATTTTATATTGTATTTCATTAATTATGAACTAATAAATTACGTATTATCTTAACTGAGTTTGATATTTTATAATTAAAAAAATTCATAACCGAATACGAGACACCAGTGATAGACCTACAGTAAAGCATATGGTGGCACATGCCACCGTATTATTCCTCCGTCGAAGGGTAAATTTTTTTAGGTTCGTGAAATGTGCAACGGTATTAATTTGTTGTGTGTCATTGTATGTATTTTGAAACTACAATGAGAACAAGTTTTATTTGATAAAGTTGGTTTGCAAGGCTTTTTTTCCACTACAGACTCAAGTTCGAATCCTGTTAGTGTCATTTTCTTAGTCAAAATGGTGTCACCGTTTGAAAAAAATTATGTACATTTATTTTCTTATAGTCAAATGGTGCCACCGATTGAAATCTTTTCCCTATATCTTTTTCTTATAATCCAACGGTGCAACCGTTTGAAAAAATTTCTGGATCCGTCCTTACAAGACATCAAATATGATTAGTTCATAATATAACTGATCACATGATGATTAAAAAATGTATAACACGTGATTAAAGAAAAATTCTATTTGAAAAATTATTAATAATAAGATCCAATGTCAGCATTATTTGAAAACAATTACAGTTGACATTTATTATTATTATTATTATTAAAAAATAAACCAAATAAATACTCCTTGCCACGATTTGTTCAAATAATATTGTATAAATATATTAAATTATTAGAACATGCACATCATCTTGAATTTCTTTAATACAAAACATATATTTTGGATATTTATTTCCACTGAAATTATATAAAATAAAATTCTTTTTTTAGTAGTCGTTTGTCGCACACTTTTCAGATAAAACGCTTACTAGCAAAAGTCAAAATCCTCACTCATCTTATCGGGTTGTAAACCCGACAATCAAAATGAATTTTTGATAAGCATTTTTTATATATCCAGTAAGTGTTAATTGGGTAATAATCCCGACATTTCTTTTGAAATGCTTAAAACAGAAAAACAATACAAAGTAGAAATAAAACTCATCAACAACAACAGCTGCAAGTAGGGGTGTTCATGGGTTGAGTTGATCGGGTTGAAGACATTTGAACAACCCAACCCAATGCTTGCGGTTTGGAAAATCTTAACTCAACTCAACCCAAACCAAAGTGCAACCCAGCCCAACCCAACCCGTATGGGTTGGTCGGTTTGATACTTTGGTATATTAAAATATTTTTCTAACCTTGAATATGTCACTTTTTTACTCATAATTTCTTTTTCATCATCAACCATTTGATACAACTTATCCATATTTCTTATATATATCACATTCAATTAATTTTCTCAATTTACATATATATGTTCACAGTTACTGAACATATATATGAATAAATTATATAGAGATATGAATAAATTGAAAATATGTGTATATGAAAAGCATACATGATAGTATAATTGTCTAATGTATATATGAATAGAAATTCAACAAACATATTAAATCCAAGAAAATAAAAGGATGTCGGGTTCATAGGGTTGGGTTGGGTTCAAATAATAGTAACCCAATATCAACCCAATACCTACGGTTTGACAATTTTACAACTCGATTAGACATTGGGTTGCTTCGGGTTGGGTTGGATTGGGTTGATCGGGTTGGTCGAGTTTTTGAGCACCCCTAGCTGCAAGATGCAATTAAGAATGACACTGAAAAAGGCTAAGAACAACAACCGAGCACCCAGAAACGATCAAACAAGGTAGAAAGCCAAGGAACTGTACATAATTAAAAAGCTAAGAAGCAGTCTCAAAGCGAAAGAAACAGCCCCCGAAGAGGTTACATGGAGAGAGACAACGAGTTTGGATTATGAATCCACGACCATACAATATGGATCCCTTTTGCAATCTTCTCGAAATCCAATCAAAAACACAAACCTGCATATGGGAAAAAAGAATTGCATACGAGGATGCCTTTTTCTTGAACACTATGTTGTTACAGTGACACCAAATCGGAGACGCTATTATTTTTTAAAACATACAAGTATGGTTTGAACGTGTTTCCAAATTTCATACTTATAATTGCATCAAAAAAAAAAATCAAACGTATATCAAAATAAATTATTGTAGGTATCTAAGAGTAAATAATTTTTTTTTATACTTTAATATATACTAGAATGGTACACGCGTAATGCAGCGAGATACATCTCGATTTTAATGTTTTGTTTTGTTTTTTTGTCTCAGTCGATGTAATAATACGGTTTGAGAAAGCGATAATGTTTTTATTTATGAATAAAATATAAATATGAAGATATCATATAAATATGAGTCTCAAACTAACTATTTAAAAGTTCCTTTTTTTGTTGAAGTTTATTTAATTCAATTTTATTATAATTTAATTTAGGTTTAATAACGAAATTATTAATTTTTGGTTTAATAATATAATTTTTTATAAAAATAATAGTTTAGAAATCAATAATTATCCTAATTATATTTTAGAATTTTTATATTTAAAATAATATGTTTATCCTCTATTTGATTATATTTATCTACAGTTAGTTACACAAATTTATACATGAAGGTTTAATAAGTTGTACTTACGCATAATTTACTTATAATCTTGATTTTTAAGTAATATGCATCAATAAACAATACTTCATACATAAAAAATGATTTTTAAGAGTTTTTGTTAAATACTTTATAATATAATATAAATAATAGTTGATTATATTAAAATTATTTGTATAATGATTAAAATATCCGAATACACATGGACGGTGTTTAATGCCCGTTTACTTTAATTCTACCCGTTTAAAAATGGTTTTAATATAAATTATTTAATTATTTATTAATAGTTTTGTTTAAAAATAATTTTGATAAAATTTGACAAATTGAATTTATGTTTGAAAATTTCAATTAAACTCATTGACAGGTGTGTAGTATAGTTGAAAATTCTATAAATTATATATATGAACATTAAAAGTTACAACTGTATTAACCACAAGGGTGATGATTGATTGGTTTGAGCTTGGCTCCAAAGGTCAAAAGTACCAGGAGATCCCAAGATCAAATCCAAGAAGAAATAAAAATCCCCTTATGGCCACGGAGGTTCAAATGCAATGACTCCAGGTTATCTGCAAAGCAAGTAGTCGTCCTGGGATTAGTCGGCTCACATAGGGGGTTGGATATCCAGGTTAATCAAAAAAAAGTTACAACTGTATTAGAATCATTATGTTTACAAGACGTTCATTGTTTTCATCTTGAACGAGCAGGGGAACAACAAACGGTTTCAATAATAAAAAGAAGAATACAACAAACAAACAGTAAACAGAAATTTGTGAAAACTTTGTTACAATTAGCCTCCACTATGAAAATCAATAATGGATGACATAAACATTGTACTCAACAACGGCATCACCATTGCTGAAATTTAAAGAATAAGTCTTTGCAAGAGCATAACCACGTGCAAACCGAAAAAGCCCTGTCCCTCCGATGATCGGCATCTCTCTAACCGACGACATCACTTTATTCCTTCCTAGTATACTCAAAGTGCTTCCATTGTATTTGCCCTCAATAAAAACGTAATTCAAGACCATTGTCAATCCAAATTCGTCCAAGTCAGCAGATGCATACAACCCTTGTGCTCTTCCCACGATTCTGGAGGTTCTTTCAGGACCCACCGTCAATGGGTCATCGATCATAACCACGGCACCAAACAATGAAGCAGAGGTGTTGGTGACGGTGGCCTCAGCCACCCTAACGGCGGTTGGATGGTCGCCACCAGCTATGTCATGAAAGTAGAAATGGAGGTGACTTATTTTCTCTTTCTTGAAAGGAAATGATTTTGGTGACAAGTTCTTTGAAAATTTATGGGTTTCTCCATGGATGAGAAGTGAGAATAGAAGAATTACAAGAATGATGTGATTTTGTTGGAGGAGAGTTTGAGGCATGGTGATGGTGAGAGATATAGGGAATTGGGGTGGTGGTTTTCCTTTTATAAGTTTGAGTAAACTACATTTTTAGTCCCTGTAATTTGTTGAGAATTGTTATTTTCGTTTCTGGATTTTCAAAATTACGGTTTTTATCTCTATCGTTCATAATTCTTTGTTGTTTTAGTTCATGTGGTTTACAATTTATTGTTATTTTCGTTTCTCATGCTTGATGGTAAACTATCGAGGGAGTTATCTTCAGAGATAAAAACATCAATGAATTGCAAATTATAAGGTCGAGAATTGTAATTTCAAAAGTATTAGAACGAAAGTCATAATCTTTAACAAAACACGGAGAAGAAAAACGTAGTTTATGTGTTATAAAGACGAAAAATACGTATTGGGTGCAGGGGCGGACCTATGTATGTTTGAGCAGGCTTTCGTACATTCGCTTAACTTAACATTTGCAAATCCTTCTCTTTCGATGACACATATCACACAAACATGCAATAAATTATCCTCAATTCGATTATGTAAATCCCACTTGAAAAGTTTTATAAATTACAGAAAAAATCTCAACTGTTACGATTATAACTGAGAAAATCAATACTGACTTTAATAATTAAGAGATCAAAGGAAATTAAAATTTTTTTTTCCTTTTTTCCACCACCACTCTATCGAAGTCAAACATACTTTTAAACAACATTTTATTGTAAAAATGAATAAATAATACCCAAGTTTTTAGGATTGCTTAATTCAAGGGGGTGATTAGTGAAATCAGTTAAGTTGTGGGGGGTGATGATAAAAGTAGCGATGTATAGGGGGTGTAAGTGTCAATTGACAGAAAAAGTGGATCGACGACGCCATTAAGAAAAGGCAAATGGTAATTAAATGAGGAATAAACAGAAATAATTTTTGTTATATTGAATAATTTAATCTATACTATATTATAAAGTATTTGACAAGAACTTTTAAAAATCATTTTTATGTGTAAAGTACTGTATATTAATGCATATTACTTTAAACTCAAGATTACAAGTAGATTGTGCATAAGTACAACTTATTAAATCTCTATATCTTAATTCGTGTAACTAACTGCAGATAAACATAATCAAATACAGGATAAACATTTTATTTTAAATATAAAAAATCTTAAATATAATTAAGATAATCATTGAATTCTAACAGAATACTTAATTATTATCTTTATAAAATGTTATATTATTAAACAAAAATAAATTATTTCGTTATTAAACCTAAATTGAATTATAATAAAAAAATAAGTTAAAGAAATTATATAAAAAATGAGAACTTTTAAATAGTTAATATCAAATTTTTTATCAAATTTTTATGATATCTTCAAATTTATATTTTATTTAAAAACAAAATCATTATTGCTTTCTTAAAAACACATAACATCGTATTATAACATCGACAGAGACAAATAATAAAATAGAACATTAAAATCGAAATTTGGGGAAAAAAAGAAGGTAGACTAAAAAAAGATATTTATAGTTTAAACAATTTGTTATTAAGTAATTTTCTTATCTATACTATATTATAAAGCATTTGACAAAAACTCTTAAAAACCATTTTTTATGCATTAAGTATTGTATATTGATGCATATTACTTAAAATTCAAGATTACAAGTAAATTATGCATAAGTACAACATATTAAAGCTCCATGTTTGAATTCGTGTAACTAACTGCAGATAAACATAATCAAATAGAAGATAAACATCTCATTTTAAAATATAAAAAATCTAAAATATAATTAGGATAATTATCGAGTTATAACAAAATAATTAATTGCTATTTTTATAAAAAAATTATATTATTAAACCAAATATAAATGACTTCGTTATTGAACCTAAGTTAAATTATAATAAAAAAAATTGAAGTAAAAAATTACACAAAAAATAGTAATTTTAAATAATTAATTTGATACTAATATCGATATATTTTTGTCAAATTTTTATGATATCTTCAAGTTTATATTTTATTCAAAAATYAMATAAAACCATACTATAACATCGACTGAAATAAAGAATAAAATGAAATATTAAAAATCAAGATGTATCTCGCTGCATTGCGCGAGTACCCTTCTTGTAATATTATAAAGTATTTAATAAAAACTTTTAAAAACAATTTTTTATGCATTAAGTACTGTTTATTGATGTATATTACTTAAAACTTAAGATTACAAGTAAATTATACGTAAATACAACTTATTAAAACTTCATGTTTAAATTTGTGTAACTAACTGCAGATAAACATTATCACATATAGGATAAACATCTTATTTTAAATATAAAAAAAATCTAAAATACAATTAAGATAATCATTGAGTTTTAACAAAATACTTAATTATTATCTTTATAAAAAGTTATATTATTAAGATGTAATTTTTTGTTGTTAACGATTTTGACATTTTTCTTCTTTTTGATGAAATTGGGCATAAACTATTGTAGATGCTCTCATAACGATTTCCTTAATACACCGGTAGCATTAAGCTGAAACTTCTAAAAACAACAAAATATTCTATTGTGAAGTAAAAAAAAAAAAGTAAAGATCCATTTTCCTAAGAGACCCATTAAGGACTACCAGTGTTCTAAAAGTCCCATTACGTTATAGTGTGGTATTCTGGATCGGCGTGGACCTGTGTTACGTTCTTGGAGGATAGGTCATTTTGGGTCTTATCCTCGAGTCAACTTCAATTTGGATTCAAATAACGAACATTTCTGACTTCTTTAATCACCACTCACACAAATTCAATTCTCTCTCTCCACGGGACCCAAAACGACTAGGCCTACCCTGTCCTTATACTATTATAACAGTGACGATGTTTCCTCTTATAAAAATATAAATCTATGTTTGAAAAATCACCGACAATAATCTTTTCTAAAAAATATATGTTTGTTATTTCATTATTATTTAATATATCATGTTGATTAATATATTATTGTTTGTATGGTTATTTAACATCTAAATCAGCAATACTCTCCAAATAAAAGAAAACATATAGCGGTATGTATAATACAAAATCTTACTTTAAATCTATAAAAAAATGTTGTAAACAGTAAATCTACTCTGATGGCAGCAATAAATCTTACACGAAGACGTTTTATTATTTTCCAATCTTGATCTATTCGAACGACTTTGTCAGCTGCTATGATCATACTTATTTAATAAAATGAATAAAAATTCAAAGACTAATAAATAATTAAATGAGTGGGTACCATGGTAAACAATTTCTAAATCATGTACCAACCAAATTTGTATATTTGGTACAGTACTATCAACTTGATCAGTAATTGGTACCAATTGATTGATACAGACGATACATATATTGACTGGTTTAGTTTGGTATAAAATACCCATACAGTCCTAGAAGACGAATTTTCTAAAACCAAATAATGTTATAACCAAACGTAAATTGAAAATAATTGAATAATTTATTAAAAATTATTTAATTTAAAATAAAAATATATTTATTTTTAACACCAAATACTCATATTTTTATCATAGATTAATATGTTGAAGAATATCCAGATACTAGTAATGAAGAACATACACATTATACTCCACAACAGCATTGCCGGTTTCCAAATCAAGACTATGTGTCTTCGCTTGAGCATAACCTTTAGCAAATAGAAAAAGTCCACTTCCACCAACAACTGTCATTTCTCTCATCGGGTCGAGCACTGCATTCCGGCCCAATATGCTCAAACTGCTCCCATTATATTTTCCTTCGATAAAACAATAGTTCAAGACCATAAAAACGCGAGGTCCTTCAAGTCGGCAGATGCATATATCCCTTGAGCTCTTCCCACCACCTTAGACTCTGGTCTCGGTTCCACTGTCAATGGATCATCCATCATCGTCACAAGACCAAATTGGCTCAGTGTGGCATTTGGTGTGGCAGCAGTGGCCTAGTGGGGTGGGAGCCAGTGACTACGTCGTGGAAGTAGAAGTGGAGGTGCGTTAGCTTCTCTTTCTTGAAACCAAGTGATTTTTTCGACAAATGTGTTGAAAACGGTTGCGATTGAAGGGTTGTGAGGCTATGGAGGAGGACAATGGTGGTGAGAAATTGGGTTTTCAGGGGAGTTTTGAGCATGGTGAAGGGTGGAGAGTCTATGGATTTTGGGCATATAAGAAGAAAGAAGTGAATAATGGAATCCAATCACCAATTAATTATGTGGACTGAAATGAGACATGAACATAGGGATGGTTATTTTTGGTATCGTCAACGTATTGTTGAAAGATGACTAGTATCGTTGCCAAGGCATAGCGAATTGGTTTTTAGTGATATAGTTGCCATATTATTCTGGGAGTTAACAATTTCATTTAGACTGGATTCATTGTGGTCATTAGGCTATTAACTAGGGTATTTATGAGTTGAGTTGACCAGTTTAAAGACCTTTAAACAACTCAACTCAATGATTACAGTTTAAAAAAAATTTGTAGTTAAAAGTAACAAGATAATTATCGACTTAAACGAACGATAATAATACCTTGTATAACCAAATAAAAATATTTATTAATTATATATTATTCATAATAATACAAATTATAAAATTTCATATACCTGGTAAAAAAAAGCCTGATATCAGATTATTTAAGACATACATGTTAGTTCATAATGTTGAGGTTAAGAATTTTCGTAAGTATTTCATATCATATTATTCCCAACTCAGTATTTTAAAAACTTGAACATATCTTCACTATGACAAAAACCTTTATAAATTTTTTCATAGTTTTTTTTCGTATTTTTCAAGGTACCATCATTTTAAATTTATATGTTTATTTATATAAATACAAATATGTTTTTTTATCAAAAAATATTATTACGTTAATTATGTATTTACTTTACATAATTTTTTTATTTAAAAATATTATTTCTAAGATCCCACATTTGTTTGGGAGGGAACGAGAGTTGCTTTATAAAGGACATGATACATTCTTTATCAGACATGTTTTAAAACCGTGAGTCCAGATGTGTGGACAAAGTAGACAATATCTGGTATAGTTGGCCTGAGATGTTACAAGTGGTACCAGAACTAGGAACCGGACTGGTGTGCCAACAAGGACGTTGGGCTCATAAGGGATGAATTGTAAGATCCCATATTGGTTGGTAGGGGAACGAAAGTTCCCTTATAAGGGACATGATACATCTTATATCAAATGCGTTTTAAACAGTGAGTCTAGTTGTGTGGATAAATCAGACAATATCTGGTACAGTTGCCTAATATGGTTGGTCTGGAATGCTACATTATTACAATATACATTATATATAATTATCCTAACAATCCATTAACATTTATAAAATTGTATAAAAATTAGGTTATCAAGAAATCCGTAAAAGTAGTACAAAAATTATGTACGATAAAAATTGACAAAAATGAATTTATAAAAATTGGTTTTCAAAGAATCCATAAAAAAAATTATAAAGTTTATACAATTTTTTTATTAATTTAAATATATCAAAAAATATCTATTTACTTCCATCATGTATTTATTTTATATTATATATTAATTATATTTAAATATAATTATTTTTACTATATTAATAAATAAAACTGATTAAATACGAAAGACCCTTTAAAAAATAAATCATGTAGTTACAATCTTTGACCAAAAACTTATAATGAAAAATCTCCAACTATGTTGAAAAACCTCTAAAAATACCTCTTAAAAAGCACATCGTGGATGCTCTAATTGTGACAAATTAAACGAAAATTATGTAACTGATACAAATTGTAAATTTTAACTGTCTGTTCGTTTAGTTATTCTGCATATTTTGCATTTGACACTGATAAGGTACGTATCTTATTTATTAAAGGTAAAATGTACGAAAAATATTTCGACAACCAACGATTAATCTTGCAAACTGTTCTTTTATTAATCATTTGTATCTGAATCAACTTATTATACATATCTCAACTAATCTTATAAAATCCTAAAAAACAGTAAGAAAAATACCAGTATTTTGAGACTGTAGTGTCATTGACGTATTGTTGACAACTACTATGAAAATTTACTTGACGCGAACCCTTTGTGGAAACTTAGGACCACCTTTGATTCTTGACTCCATAAAACAAAAGGGAAAACTCCAAATTTTGACCAACAAAATTTATTGCAAATGGTGGATTTGGAATAATGTTTATTTATTATATTTAGTCTGCCGTCTGAAATAGATAATAAATCTGTATAAATTTCATCCGCACATCCAAGTGGAATATATAATATGAGAATAAAACAGATTTTCTCTCTCTCTCTCTCGTGTTCAGTTTACAATACAATTGGATAAATACTGATAATAAAAACTTTTGGATTCTTTTACCGTCCCTCAACATGAAACATGACGATCAATAGTGTAGTACATAAACGTTGTACTCAACAACCGCATCACCATTGCTGATATTAAAGAACACAGTCTTTGCAAGGGCATATCCACGTGCAAATCGGAAAAGCCCGCTCCCGCCAACTATTGGCATCTCTCTCACTGGTGACATCACCGAATTCGTCCCCAGTATACTCAAAGTGCTACCATTATACTTTCCCTCCACGAAAACATAATTCAAAGCCATCAGCAACCGAGTTTCAGTCAAACATGCAGATGCATATATCCCTTGAGCTCTTCCCACGATCTTGGAAGTCCGTTCAGGACCCACGGTCAAAGGATCGTCGATCATGACCGTGGCCCCAAATCCGGTCTGGGAGGTGTTGGTTGTGGCGGCAGCCGCCACCCGGACGGCAGTGGGGTGGTCGCCGCCAACTATGTCGTGGAAGTAGAAGTGAAGGTGGCTTAGCTTCTCTTTCTTGAAACCAAATGATTTTGGTGACAATTTTGATGAAAATTTATGGGATTGTGTTTGTAGAAGAAGTGAAAGTAGAAGAATGGTGAGAATGGGGAGAGTTTGGGCCATGGCTGTGAGAGAGATGGAGAAGTGGAGGTGTGGAGTGGTGGTGGTGTGTGGTCTTATAAAGACAGAAAAGGTGTTAGGTTCTTGCAAAATTACATTAATAACCTTATACTATTTCCATTGAAGGCAAGAATATCCTATTATAAGAAATATTATATATATATATATATATGGTTGGGTTCAGATGAGATCAATGGTTTTTCGTGAGACTCGTAATACCAATTTATGTTCATTGATTAACTTTATAAGCTAATGATCTAATGGTCTAAAGTTGCACGATTGCAATTTTGTGATTATTGAGAAATCTCATGGCAATTTTATGATTATGAATGTTCAAATTGTAGATCTAATCCAATGGTTAAAAATTGGTCTTACGGGTCTCACGAAAAACCTTTGTTTTCACATGATCCAAAGTCTATATATATATATATAGAGAGAGAGAGAGAGAGAGAGAGAGAGGATCAAATGAATACAAATTCAAAATTAGAAAACAACCAAATTACATATAATTTTACATGCGAGTATTGAACACAATTAACATAAAGTTGAGCGGGCGACCTTGTCTTGTGAATCACATGATTTTAATGTAAATCATATATGATTTAATCGTTTTCGTATTCTCTTAATTAATTATTGTTCTCGTATCAACCTCTTTTTTTTCCCTCTCTATATATAAGGATGGTTGATTTAGAAATATTAATTAACTATTTTAAGAGCATATGAACCAATTATTTTATATGATATTTACGATAATTAATGTTTAAAATTATTTATCATGAATACTACATAAAATAAGTTGTTGGGTTCTCAAAATGTTTAATATTCTTAAAATTCAAACAACTTTAATAAAGTATTTTACAAAAAATGTTGATAAAATATATTATAATAATTTTTTTTAAATACTTTATGGCCACCATTTAATAAAGTATTTTGTATAAAACTTTAAATTAAAATATTAAGGTGTGCATTTTACCTTGTATTTGTCAAATTTAAAACAATTTTAATGAAGTATCTTGTATAAAACCTTTGATCAAATGTATTATTAAAAATATTTTATTTCGTCATCATTATAATTGCGAAAAATCGTGTAAGAAATGAAGTTATGGTAAGAATCATAAGAAGAAATCTAAACCCTTGATCATTTTTAATCTCATGTCCACCAATAAATTGTGCTTTAACAAGGAATTCTCATTAATGTTGACATTCAACTATGATTGATTCAAGAGTGAAGATTTATTCTTACATTTTTTACCATAACTTATCTTTTTATCAGAACTCAATCCTGATGAAGTTCATCTGTAATCTTAGATGCTTTCAAATTTTTTGCTCATTAATTATCTATACTATATTATAAAACATTTGACAAAAACTCTTAAAAACCACTTTATGCATAAAGTATTGTTTATTAATGTATGTTACTTAAAACTCAAAAATAAAATCATTATTGCTTTCTTAAAAACACATAAAATCGTATTATAATATTGATAGAGACAAAGAATAAAATAGAATATTAAAATCGAGATGTGTTTCGCTATATTGCATGAATATTCTTCTAGTTATTATAAAATATGGGTATTATTTATTACACAATTTAATGTATAAAATTACTAAATTATATGGAAAAAAAAACCCTTAGATTAATAAAAGAATAAACTCATTAACAAGTTGTTTGATTGAGAGAGAGAGGGGATCATCATTCTCACTAAAAGCATCTTCAATGAATTTCTTTTTGCACTTTTGTTTGTCGATCTCAAGTCCTCTTCATCAAATTAAGAACTCACTACAATTTCGTAATAGTGGTTCAAATAAGAATCATTTTTTGTGGGTTCAATTGATTCTTTTAACATCAATAATTATTATCTATATATATAAATTTAACATTAATAATTATACATACACACGTATATATATATATATATATATATATAGACATGGGATCATGTGAGACCAGCCCGTTTTCGTGAGACCCGTGAGACCAACATTTTACACTTGAAACTTCACAGCAAAATGTTGTGAAGGTGACTTTTTAAAACCTTCACAGTGTTTTTGCTGTGAAGGTTCGACTTTTTTTAAACCTTCACAGTGTTTTTGCTGTGAAGGTTCGACTTTTTTTAAACCTTGACAGTGTTTTTGCTGTGAATGTTACGTGTAAAAATGTGGTCTTACGGGTCTCACGAAAACAGACTGGTCTCACGTGAACCCAACCCTATATATATATATATATATATATGAAAATTAATTAAAACATAAACATAATTTTTTCTATTACAATTATAAAAATACAATATAACAAAGATACTAATTTTAATAAGTAGATATATTGCATGTGTGTTATAATATATATATATATATATACACACACACGATACATACATACACACACACACACATATATATAGGAGGTTTACTTTGCAAACCATATTATTTGTACAAACCGTACAAAGCTCATTCAATCAATCATAATTTTTCATTTTTTTTTTCATTGTTTTGTAATTATGAGAGGTTGATTAATCATTTTTATTGTGGAGAGTGTTAATCATGAATATTATCATCTTCATTATTTTAATTTTAGAGAAATACATGAAACAATTTTATTAAAATTTCATTAAGTATTATATGAAACAATTTCATAACCATATATGAAACAACTTTATCAAAAAAAATATTATATAAAACAATTTCATGAAATTTTTTCATAAGATTAAACAATTAAATCGACGAATAAGGATGATTTGCACGGTTTGTATAAATTGGGTAGTTTGCATTTGATCGTTCCTCTCTTTCTCTATCTCTCTCTTTATATATATATATATATATATATATATATATATATATTACATGTAAACGAATCAAATAAATATATATGTAATAAATAAATATATTGTAATAATTAAATAAGTTAATATAAAGTAAAAAAAATGAATAAAATGTCATTTTTCATAAAAATCATGGTAAGAATCAAATTTCTTGTTCAAGAACTTATGGTATGTTAGGTTCTTATAAAAACATCTCTACAATGGTAGTTCTTATAAAGCATTGCACTTTTAATTTAAAAGAACCTTGCATTGAAGATGCTCTAAGTAAACTATCTTCTTTCAACTCTTTTGTTTCATACTCGTCTTTTTCCCAGTTTAATATGATACAAAAATCTTTTGGAATTTATAAAAATAAAACTATTATATTATATAAAATCAAATAATTTTTTTTAATTTTATTTTCACCCTCTTAAATTACCGACGAATACCTCTAATATCATGTAAAGTAGACGTCGGCACATTTACATTTGTAAATAGAAAAAAAGAAGAGGTCAAACGTGGTAGGTTACCTAACATTGACTTATTTGGAAACAAATTCGTCTTTGTTGCGGTAAAAAAAAATCTATTAAAAAAGTACTCGTGCAATGCAGCAAGATATATTTAAATTTTAACGTTTTTTTTTATTATTTGTCTATGTCGGTGTTATAATACAATTTTATGTGTTTTTAAGAAAGCAATAATGATTTTATTTTTGAATAAAATATAAATTCGAAAATATCATAAAAATTTGAAAAAAAATATATCAATGTTAAATCAAATCAACTATTTAGAGGTTCTCATTTTTTTTTATTAATTTCTTTAATTTTTTAATTATAATCTAATTTAAGTTTAATAATGAAATAATTTATTTTTGGTTTAATAGTATAATTATATTTTAGATTTTTTAAATTTAAAATGAGATGTTTATCATGTATTTGATTATGTTTATCTGCATTTAGTTACACGAATTCAGATATGAAGCTTTAATAAGTTGTACTTACACACAATCTACTTGTAATCTTGAGTTTTAAATAATATGTATTAATAAACATTACTTTACGCATAAAAAGTGAGTTTTAAGAGTTTTTGTCAAATACTTTATAATATAGTATATATACTATATTATAAAAAATTCGACAAAAACTCTTAAAAATAATTTTTTATACATGAAGTATTGTTTATTGATTCATATTACTTAAAATTTAAGATTACAAATAAATTGTGTGTAAGTACAACTTATTAAAGTTTTATGTTTGAATTCATTCAACTAATTGTGGATAAATATAATCAAATAGATGACAAACATCTCATTTTAAAATATAAAAAATCTAAAATATAATTAGGATAGTTATCGAATTGTAACAAAATAATTAATTATTATCTTTATTAAAAAAATTATATTATTAAACCAAATATAAATTACTTTGTTATTGAACATAAATTAAATTACAATAGAAAAATTGAATTAAAAAATTACATAAACAATGAGATTTTAAATAGTTAATTTGATACTAATATCGATATAATTTTTTTTTAAAATTTTATGATATCTTCAAATTTATATCTTATTCAAAAATAAAAACATTGTCGCATTTTCAAAATCACATAAAATCATATTATAACATCGACAGAGATAAAAAAATAAAACGAAATATTAAAATCAAGATGTATTTTGCTGCATTGCGCGAATACCCTTCTAGTATATAATATAAGTTAATTAAAATTTAATCAAAAATTAAAACTCAAACTAAAAAGTAACCCGGTAGCTGTTGAACCACTCTTATATAACTGATACAAATTACTTAAATTTAAAAATATAAGCTAAAATATTCAGGCTGTTTGTTTACATCTTAATAGTTGGATTAAGAGACAATATCTGAATCGTTAAGAAGGTGAATCTTGTTTGACAAAAATAGATCTGTCTCTCAATGGTTCCAAAATGCTCTGGATGATTTTATACCATGAACCTCCCTTGACCATTCAGCGTCCTAATTTCATTATGAACAATTACCAAAAAATTATATTTCATTTTGCACGATATCAAGAGAGTCTCTTAATCATTCTGACCACTTAATCATCTCGTATCAAATCATTCAGCAACTGTCAAATAGTTTGAAGCCGGTAAATGTTGATATAAGCCATTAAATGATGAAACCGATCGACAAGATTTAGGTAAAGAAATGAAAAAACATAAGGAGGACGATAGAAAAC